GGAGCAGTGGATCTACACTTTACTCCTCGCCAAATAAATATCACCCTAATCTCATCATCATCATCATCATCATCATCATCATCGTTTATTTATAAAGCATCTTCTTACACTTTTCATGTTCAAAGTGCTGTCTATGATACAATTAAAAACACCAGCTTTGTACTATCGTACAGTTTCATTAAAATAACAAAATAAACAAAGAAAGGAAGAAATAATAATAATAATAACAATAACAATAATAATAATAACACTTATTATTATTATTATTATTATTATTATTAATTACAACCCGGAGTTGGCAAGCCACCCTTTTCCGGTCGAGAACCATGGTCTCAGATTTGGAGGTGCTGATCCTCATCCCAGCCGCTTCACACTCGGCCGCGAACCTACCCAGCAAGAGCTGAAGTTCAGAGCTGGATGAAGCTAGGAGGACCACATCATCCACAAAAAGCTTAGATGAGATGTTCCTGCCACCAAACTCGACACACTCCACACCACGGCTATTATTATTATTATTATTATTATTATTATTATTATTTATTATTATTATTATTAAAAAAAACTAGTAAAATCAATACATTTATAAAACCATTTCATACCCAGACAATAGCAGTTTTGCAAACACAGTTCATATTGGTGAACTGTGTTTGTGATCTTGTTCGAGAATGCCCAAAGCTCATGAGGGCCAGAACATAGATAAGCCAGTAAATCAAAAGCTTCATCTTCTGAAAACTCCTTTCTAACTACCACAACCAACAGCAGCGCCCTCATTACCTCAGATTATACAAAAGGTCCCTGATCTCCAGTCATAAAACCTCCATTTCATTTGCTAAAGACTAACTTCAGCTGAGGGCGTCAAAGCGTCTCTAAGGAGCATACTGGTTTCCAAACTTTGATGCTTCCATAAGAATCTCAACAGAGTACTGAAAATAGACTTTTTGTTCATAATTATGCTAATTTTCAGAATTGAATGTGATCCTCTATAAATGACATAAAATGATGGATTGATGCAAGCTTGTGATGTTGTTTTGAACAGTTTCTGTTTCCTAGGTGAGGAGACTTCCAGGAACAGCTGGTCCAGAAAACTCATCCTGTCATCCTGAACACATTTTGTATTGTAATTATGAGGTCACGCAGCAGTCACACTTTGCATTTCAGCATTTTACTCAACCTAATGCCGAGTGTCTGGCAGTAGAGGAGGGTGATTACGGTGGATTAGTGTTGGAGGTGAATGATCAAGCAGCAAATTATTCATTTGATTACAAAGAAGCAGGACAGAAATGGCTTAGTAATTAAATGAGTCATATTAATTGATTTAAGAGTTTGAAGACCTGCCCATCAAAATTTGTTGTATTGAGCTGTTTGCAGAGCAGATTAGTAAACATGTTATTGTTTTGGAGGTGGGTGGAGGCAGCTGGGTGTTAGATAAAGATGCACATCTAACTGATGAGGAAAATCCAGGTCAGACACTACGTATGTGACAAAGACCGGACAAACGCTCCAACAAACGAGTATCAATAGCTATGTGTACCAGTAGGAGCTGCATGCTGAATTTATTTCTGATGGATGTGTAATTAAACTGCGGTTAATGGCTTTTGTCTTTGTGGGAGATTCAGAAATCACCTTGAAAGAAAATGTTACCTTTTAAATTACAAAAACATTGATGTTTAAATGGAAAACCATTGGGCCTTGATCAAAAGAGTTGACTTGATATTCTTTTATCTGTATTCACATTCCTCTGGTCAAAGGTCTAATAGGATGAAAAATTCAGGCAATGATTCATCTGTATTTCAGACACACTGTAGCAGAGGCTCTTCGTATAAGCTTTTCATGGCCAGGTTTAAATGATCTTTATGTTGTGGCTTTTGTGTAGATTTGCACACGGGGTCTTTGCTAGTGTTTGGGTATCTGCTGTGAATGAATCTCAGCCACGTGACATTTTTGTTAAGTTATTGTAGAGTTATAGCATTTTCAGTGGTTAGTTGTGGCTGCCATTTTAACTCCAAATGTTACTGAGATGTAGATAGAAACTCGATGATTGAGTTTTATTAAATGCTTCCTGGTAGTTTGTGAGTTGTTTTCCTAACAGACAATCGCTACGTTTACAAATGTCCCCTATCCGATTCATATCTTGGTTGATCAGAAATCCCAAATCTCTAACAGAAAAGATTCGATCAAGCCGTGAGTATACAAACACCAAACACTCAGTCAGATTAAAAAGGTTGAGCATGCGCAGAAGTACCTTTCCCAGAAAAAAATGTAAACAAATGTCAATTGTCCGCACATCTTTCCCCTCAAATTTTATGTTTATGTTTATGTTTATGTATTTAGCAGACGCTTTAGTTCAAAGCGACTTACAAGTGATAATCGTCATGTTGCCCTTGAGGCTAACAACAGCAATAACAACAACAACTTGACATCAGTCATGGAGAGTAGGGAACAAGGAGTGGACAGTAGAGAGGGGGGACGGGTGCAGGGAAGGTGCTAGTTTAGAAGATGCTCTCTGAAGAGCAGGGTCTTCAGGAGTTTCTTGAAAATTGAAAAGGAAGCCCCTGTTCTGGTAGTGCTTGGAAGGTCATTCCACATTTGTGGAACGATGCATGAGAAGAGTCTGGATTGTCCTGAGCGTGGTGTAGGCACTGCTAGCCGACGATCCTGTGATGACCGGAGCGGCCGGGCCGAGACGTAAGCCTTTGCAAGAGGATTCAGGTAGATGGGAGCCTTATCATCTCAGACTTTGTATGCTAGTGTTAGCCATTTGAATGTGATGCGTGCTGCTAGCGGTAGCCAGTGGAGCTCAATGAACAGAGGGGTGGCGTGTGCTCTTTTTGGCTGGTTGAAGACCAGATGCGCCGCTGCGTTCTGGACCATTTGAAGAGGTCTCACAGTACAGCCTGGAAGACCAGTTAGAAGGGCATTTTATGTTCTTATTCTCGAGCTTTGTCCATTGACTTCCATTCCCCCCCCCCCCACCCACCCCCCCCCCCCCCCCCCCCCCGTTATGGACCTTTTTTGCATTTTACCTGTATGCTTTTGTTTTTACTGATCGCTTTAAATAAGCTACAGGCTCAGTAGTACATAATGCTTCTGCTCCTCTGCCACAGGCGAGAAGAGCAGAATAACTGATCACCCGCTCACATCGTCCTCCAGCTCTTCAGACTTGTCCTGAGAGGCTGCAAAGGCAGAGACGTCACACTGAAGTTGTACACATGCGCAGAGGGCATTATTTTACTCTAGTCATCTGAATGGATGTGTATATGGACGTCAACTGGAATGAGGATCGGACAAAACCACCTCTCTCAATCAGAATAGAATTTCATTCCAATCGACATGTTTACATGAATAAATTTTGATAATTCATTCCGATTACTTTCCCCCATGACAATGTAGCTAATGAGGAAACACCCTACAAATCATGGCAAAGCGGAGGTTCACGGAGAAACATATAATAATTTATCTTTTTATTTGAGATCGGTCACTCAGAATTTCCTATTCATGTAGAACATGGAAATATTTCCTATTTCTTGCATTAGCTGCTGAAAGAAAACAAACGAAGATATGCTCGGGTTAGAAAAGCCCAGCAGATCTATGTCACACTGAAAAATTAGCACTCATGGCCTCGCCCCAGGCTTGCATGCGACTTCAGACAGCTGTGTTGATTAAGCGGCTGGCAGAGAACAGAACTTGTTTTGACTAGTAAAAGCTAACAATTATTATTAGCAACTCTTCAACATAGCAGAACAAGTTTAGGCTTGTGTTATTTGTAGAGATAACACATCAATTTAGCATTGTTTATGTTTATGTTTATGTATTTAGCAGACACTTTTGTCCAAAGCGACTTATAAGTGATAATCAGCATGTTGCCCTTGAGGCTAACAACAACAATAACAACAACAACTTGACATCAATCATGGAGACTAGGGAACAAGGAGTGGACAGTAGAGAGGGGAGGCGGGTGCAGGGAGGGTGCTAGTTTAGAAGATGCTCTCTGAAGAGCAGGGTCTTCAGGAGTTTCTTGAAAATTGAAAAGGAAGCCCTGTTCTGGTAGTGCTTGGTAGGTCATTCCACATTTGTGGAACGATGCATGAGAAGAGTCTGGATTGTCCTGAGCGTGGTGTAGGCACTGCTAGCCGACGATCCTGTGATGATCGGAGCGGCCGGGCCGAGATGTAAGCCTTTGCAAGAGGATTCAGGTAGATGGGAGCCATACCATCTCAGACATTGTATGTTAGTGTTAGCAATTTGAATGTGATGCATGCTGCTAGCGGTATTTACCCAAGAAAGAAGAGCAAAAGGAAGCAGTGGAAGAGTTGCATTGCTGTTAGCCAATCAGAGACGACGTAATAATGAGTACGCTTCAAAATCCTGCTGTTATATGCCCCTCCCCCCACCCTTATGGATAACTTCTGCAGAAAATGACTCACAAGGCTTTCATTCATAGAGACTACAGCAGATTTAAGTGTAGGCCACCTGTAAGGGAAGATCTTGCATGAAGAGAAGCTTACAGAGCTTGTTTAGTGGATGACTCAGTTAACCCAAACTCACAATTGGCTCAACATATTAACACAATTAACTAAAATGTAGTTAGTTTGCTTTAACTGAGGTTGATTAGCTGTGGTCACCATCTTTAATCCTTAAACAAACGACTCTTTACTGAGACTTCACCAGTGGTTTGTGAGATATTTTGCTACCACGCACATGCAAGCAGACACAGATGAAAACTTTCTCACGCTTTGGCAGCAACAAAAAAGATGAAAACCATTTGACCAATTTAGTGGGATGAGTTGGCAAACAAGAAGTAAAGACAATCAAATATAATCATGTAGTATGATTCTGTCACGTGTGTCTTGCCTAAAATTAGAGATGAAACTCCAGCTTCAGCAGGGTTGGACTTCATAACCTTTATTACAATATTAATAATGAACATGCATGTTTAATGACTCCACCACATAAATGGCTTTTTCCTTCACATGTGAATTTATGATCACGTCTGCTTTCAGGCCGGGCAAGTGATGTGTCGCAGGATGGTGTGCGACTGCGACAACCCCAACGCCGACCTGTTCTGCTGCCCTGAGTGCGACCCGAGACTGAGCAGCCAGTGCCTGCACCAGAACGGCCTGCTCACCTTTGGCAGTGGCGACACATGGGTGGAGAACTGCCAGCAGTGCCAGTGCCTGGTGGGTACATGTCCAACAAACATAACCCAATTATATTGTTAATAAAATAAATGTATGTTTCAGGAGTCAGCCAACACCATTTTAGGTGATAGTGGCAACATCGTAAGCATTTATAGCTGTACCGCAGCACCCACACAAAAAATATCTCGGTCGCCATAGAAATACTGATCAAGGAGAGATGTGCAGTGCAATAAAATAAAAAGTCAAGGTGAAATATTTTGTAGAAAGAGAGCGGGAGTGATTACGAGGTGAACGGGAGTGTTCTGCAGAGAGGAGAAAGAGGAAGATTGGTTTTTGTATGGTGCAAAAATAAAAAGAATTACTTTGATTAGTAAAAATTCATAGACCAGTTTTCACTGTAAGTCAGCTGTGATGGAGTCTCGCACTCCACTGAGGGCTTCTTCCAAGGTTGGGAGAACAGGAGAGGCTGGCGTGTGTGTGTGTGTGTGTGTGTGCGTGCGTGCGTGCGTGTGTGTGTGTGTGTGTGTGTGTGTGTGTGTGTGTGTGCGTGCGTGCGTGCGTGCGTGTGTGTGTGCGTGCGTGCGTGTGTGTGTGTGCGTGTGTGTGTGTGTGTGCGTGTGTGTGTGTGCGTGTGTGCGTGTGTGTGCGCGTGCATGTGTGTGTGTGCGTGTGTGTGTGTGTGCGTGTGTGTGTGTGTGTGTGATGAGGACCTGCTATAAGTGTGTTTTGGATATTTTCTAGTGCCCTCTGCTGTGACTGCAACGCTCTTCTTCCATGCCAAACAACCAAATAACACAATGTTCACCACATAAATCTTCGCTCTGCAAGACATCTGCACTATTTACGTTTGTGTTCACATCTTCGGCTGTGCTGACCTTTTCCCAGGTTTACTCACTGCTGTCGTTGAAGCAACAGGGAAACATTTTTGCGAGTGTTTCCCAATAAATCTGACAAAATCAAAGCAATCTTTTTCATGCTATGCCTCTCTTACCTTACATCTAAATGTGTATTAAATGGAAATAGCATGCTTTATGTTTTGCAGTGCTGTCTAGACTTACACTCACACCCGTGTTTTATTCCCTCTGTTCAGTTACTAAGGATCTTCACTAAGAATCTCAGACAAGTTCTCTTCTACGTCTTCTTTTCAACACTGTTGCCTTTAAATATCACCCGTCCTCGTAGCCTGGATACTGTGATGTTGGCTTCAGTCTGACAGATTTATCCTCTGAGCAGCGGCTCCCCTCCCATTCCCTCCTCATCCAAGTCATCTCATGCCATTGTAATAATGTCCTGCTGCCTGGACCTTGGGGCAGTTCTTTGGATTTCTTACAGTGCGCCATTATAGCAGAGAGCTCAGAAATCACAGCTCAGCTGAGAGGCAGCAGGGAAGCGCAGTTGGCTGAAAATGAGATGGCTCTGCTTTGCTCCCTGCTGCAGCCGTGCTCACTGCAGGCACTTATACATGTTGACACACTTTTGAGGAGGCTGACATGCCCATCACAACAGCGCGACAACGGTACACTGTAAACCTGAGCATGTACATATGCTTATAAAAATGGCACAGGCAACACACAGAAGTCTAGTCACACACACACACACACACACACACACACACACACACACACACACACACACACACACACACGCACACACACGCACACACACACACGCACACACGCACACACACACACGCACACACGCACACACGCACACACACACACTGAGACATTAAAGACGCCCAATTAAAGATGCACATATGTACAGATGCAGCAAAGGACCACCAGCACTCAGGATAAAGAGTGGCACTCAAAGGCGTTTCTGCGACTCCTTACCGCCGCTCCGGTAGCATGACAGAGATGTGAAATGAACCTTGAATGCTTCGACACTTAGCAGAGCAATGGCTGTCCAAAACTCAACGGGGGGCTTAAAACACAGTGACAGCAGGCAGATGGGCAAAACATGCACCCAGAACTGAAAATTTTTTTCCCTAAATCATTTCAAATCAAGAATGTGGCCTTTTGCACACACACAAAACCACTTGTGATTTTTTTATCTTGTTAATTTGCCAGCATATCAAGGGAGCACTAATTTCCATTACCATCCATGTAAGTTGTACTTAAGGTCGAGGTGCATGGAAAAAAGAAATGGGAATGTGATTGTTTGAGGCTAATTCCCAGGCAAAGACAAATGTCACCAGTTTTAATCTCCTGAAGGCATTTTGCAAGCATTCAGTCTTGCACAAAGTGAAAGCGTTGCGTGCAAAGAGTGAGGAGATTAAAATGCAATGAGATACCGAGAACTCTGAATGAAAAGTAAGATTAAAATAACAGCTCTCATTTTGTTTTGTGAGAAAATCAAAGGCAGGCTTTGGTTTTAGCTTGACAAAGATTTCACGCCACAGAAGATCACATCTACATAGAAAGACAAAAATGAGGATTGCTGTCATTGATACCTGAGGCTATTTGCTACCCCTCCCTGTAGCTGAAGGGGAAGAAAGCCTTTCAGACAGGCAGAATGAGAGTGGGGGTGTTTACAAGAGTACATGGAGACAAGGAATGGACATTAGCGCCATGGGAGTCTGTGTGCTTTACAGCAAGCCTAATTTACTACAACTTTTCCAAAACGCTGAGCCAAACAATTTTCAGTGATATTAAATATCCCCAGTGGGACACTTGCATCAAGCTTCAAACTGTATCTTCAGCTGCATGTATGGTCCAAACTTGTAAAGCTTTACCAATGAATGACTGCAAGAGTGTGCCACTGTTGTCAATTCAGGCAGAAGTGGGTCAAAACGGAGCGATGCAGAATGTGTGCAGGTGTGTATGCAGGATTGTGCAAAGACAGTCAAAATAAATGATCCGTTTTCTCAGGCCAATTGAAAGTGGCAGCGGGAAAAATCCAATAAGGCTTTCCTGGCTGAAAGTTTGCTGTGAGATTAATATGGGAACAACAATAAGACAATTAGAAAGCTGCAGCATTTACTGCAGAAACTGCTGACTTTGGTGGAAGATTGCGCTGCTCATCTATATTTTCTAGGCACCTTAACAACTTTTTTCTCCTCCCATCAAGTAGTCGTTCCCTCTGGCGTGCTAATACACAGCGTCAGGAGAAATCTGCATGTTTGCGTTAATAGTTTGCTTAGATGTATAAATTGCAAAAGAGCATTTGTGTAGATGGTCTCATACTTTGTGTCCTTCTCTGTCCACACCCTTCACAGCAGGGGCAGGTGGACTGCTGGCCTCTGCCCTGCCCGCCTGTGGACTGCGAGTTCACCGTGGTGCCCGAGGGCGAGTGCTGTCCCCGCTGTGTCACTGACCCCTGTCAGGCCGACACCATCCGCAACGACATCACCAAGACGTGCACGGACGAGCACAACATTTCACGCTTCAGCGGCTCCTCCTGGATTAAACACGGCACAGAGTGCACCCTGTGCCAGTGCAAGGTAGGCTACTGGCAACAACCGCAGCATCACAACAGGAAATGAGTCTGACTTTCTACTGCAGACTAAACACAAAAAAGGTGGTTTGTCAAGTGGCCAACAGGGTAGGAAGTGTGGCGGTTTTTATATGGAATGGCACAAAAACTGAAGGAAAAGACGTTTAAATGATGCTAGAGTTTGAATGGAGTACAAAAAAACATGAACAGAAAGAGTGATTACACATTTATTACTAAGAAGGAAAAATTCCAGTGATTATACAAAAGCTGCAGAAACAGAGAGAATAAACACAGATGCCCTTTCCTTCATAATTTCCTTTTACATCTGGTTTTGTTGTCGATCGAGCCCGATCTCTTGGTTTTCAAACCAATCAGAATCAGGTGTAAAAGTTTGGATTTAATCTTATTAAACAACAAATGTGACATCTACAATTCATTCCGAGATGGAGATTTTCAAACCTACGAACAACGGCTTGGTTTCAATTTCAACTAATTCCACTACATCAATATTCATTGTTTCTTGGATGGCAGCTCCATAAAGTCACACAATTAATGGCAGACAGGGATTCATAACATTTAACTGTTAGCTAGCAGGCTATGCAATGAACAGGAGAGTGAACATGTCTGCAGTTTGGAAGTATTTTAAACCAGAAACTAAGCGTTGCAACAACCAGTTGCCGTGTGTGTATACTGGGTAATACACATGGTGGAGAAAACAGAGTTGTGTGATATGCCGCCTTAAAAAATTACTGTCTCTTTTCCCTTCAGGTGTCGCCACAGAGAATCACCTGTCTCCATTAAGTGCTGAGTCACCATTTATTCAGTTTTTAAATGATTATTTCTGATTGTAATCGGTCAATCTGAGTTTTTCATGCAGGCCGAACATAAAAATAGTCTTCTACACATATCTCCTGCATCAGCTTTGGATAGAACATAGACAGAAAGGTTTGTGATTTACAATCAGCTGTGGCTGATGGCTAAGCTGTCAGCTAATTACAACATGGCTGCACTGCACTGGTCTCCAGCTGAGGCAGCCGCACCTCCACCTGGCTCAGCCACTCAGTTGCGTAATGACACGTTGGCGCTCTGAGCCACTTGCCTCATTGAAAAAAAATGCCCTCCTCGCCCTTTTCATCCAGTGATCGCAGTAAACAGGAAATCCTCCAGAATGCTGCAGAATCTGTGTGCTCATCTCCTGAGCGGTAAACGTAATGAGAGCGTGTGCACGCGCGAGCGCACACGTGCTCGTTGTAATGATTTAAATTACATGTTATTTAATAAGCCATAAGGCGAAGGATTCCATAGGAAATATGAAATCCACCTTATGGATCTGTGAGGTTATTTTAAACCAGAAGATTGGAACTTTTCAATGCAGGGATTAGATAACAGCTTCGTATTCACTCAGAGACAACAGAAGAGAGAGCGTTGTGTTTAAAGATTTATTAAAAACAAATTAAACTAGAACTGCAAGCAGTTATCAACGGGTTCCAAGCCCCCAGCGCCAGTCGCCCACCCGCCCCGCCCTCAACTTCGCCAGTCCTCACGCGGTCCCGCCCCAAAAACACGTTCTCCCGCCGGCGTCCCGTCAGCTCACTTCAACCGGCGCAATGAAAGTAACACTCAGGATACGTCATTAAACCTGCAAAGCCTATACACATATCTTTCAGAGGCATGGCTGACTTCTCAATCGTGATTACAATGGAATTCCACTGTTTCCTTATTAAAGAACGTGAAGATTTAATGAGTGAGATTATCAAACAATCATCTATACATCAACAGAATATTACAAATAACATAAAGACTTGATAATGTCTTTAGATTTAATAGATTTTCAACAAAAACAATGAGTTTCATTTTGTGACTTACTGATCAATTGTTTTAAAAAATCATGAAAAATACATAAATCATCATAAAATTACCAAAATATTCTCACATGGCAGTGTTAACATGCGGAATAATATGATGTTGTTTTTAAATCAGTTGACTCAAAGCTTTTTTGAAGAAAAATTAGGAAATATAACTATAAAGTTCACAACAAAAATTTAAATATTCATAAAAAAATAGTGCTACTTTCTATAATTAGGAGAAAAATCTCAGATCACCGTAGGTACGTGTGGAATGTTGTTAATGGCTTATATTTACTGTATACCTAAAAAGTTTTCTAACAAAAATTAATTACGTTGTTGTCCAACTATACAGAAAAACTGGTAAAAAGTTAAAAATTCATTAAAAATCTATGCTTTTGTACAGAAATCTCAAAATATTCCCAGGTTGCCTCTGTGACGTGAGAATTCTTTTTATATTTTTGTTGGGGTCATAAATGTAAAACTGTACTTACAATAAAATAATATTTGCATTAGTGTCTGTAGACAAAAATATGTCCTAAAATTAAACACAAGGGGGAGCTCATATCAAGACGACATTTTTTTTGTTTCATAAACCACCTAAGAGTGAACTTTGTAGCAAATTACAAGAAGGTTGTGAGAACAGAATTTGCGCTACAATTGCTAGCCTAAAAATGTATTTTCATAAATATAAAGCGTAAACCTCAACATGGAGCTGCGGCTTTCGTGACATAAGCTCTAGCCTATCCAGCTAACACAATCTGGAAATCTTAGCCTCTTACATGCAAATAATGATTTTTAGGAAATTTTTCAAATTTGAAATTTTAAATGATCATAAGCCACGCCCACTTTGATAAATCATTACCATATTGATAATGTAATCTTAAGACTCTATAGTGATGACAACCACTAAGTTTCGTGCAGATCCATTTAGCCAGTTCAGCAGTATAATTTCTTCCCAGTTATAGCGCCCCCTATTGTTTAATCAAGTTGAAAACCAGGACATACACTTGAATTGACCTTAGGTATGACTGTTATGAACAGCTTTGAAAAATGTCAAAATCTTTTGAAGTTACTCTAAAAAAACTTTTTCATTCTCCAAAATTTTAAAAAAAAAATCATATTAAAAAAAATAAGCAAATTATCCAAAATCCCTTCACATCTTTTGGTCAGCCGCTCCTCCTCTCTTGTCAGGGAAAGATGTGATGTGATTGAGTTTGACGGCCGGGAGGAGTTAACGAAAGTACGTTGGACTTACTATGCAAATTTCTACTAATTTGCATAAGTTTAAAACATTTTGTAAAATACTCATCTAAATTTGACTGACTCAATGAACATACTGGATGAGATCATTTGTTTTTTTACGAAAGTAATGGGGAGAAACATGCCAAAAATATTTTTGGGGTACCACAGCGCCACCTATTGGACAAAATTCAAAAAATTTTCTGTGATTGTAGATGTCATTATGACTGATATGAATTGTAATTTTCTGTATAGAATATGTATTTTTCAGGAGTAAATGGGCGAAAACGTTTAAAGCCTATTTATAGCCTATAAGCCACGCCCACTTTTTAATCATTTTCAAAATATAGCTTAAGGGTCCGATGATTAACATATGTGCCAAGTTCTGTGGAAATCCATCAAGCCGTTTAGCTGAAACAAACTTTTTGACTCTTTAGCGCCCCCTATTGGTGAATCCACACAAAATCGGGTAGATAGGGCTTACCGCTCATACTTCATAAGGGTGTAGAGTCTCATCAATTTATCTTGAGAAATGGTGAAGATATCATCAATTACCACATGTGCTAGCTAGCACACTGATTTTGACATGGTGTCATTAGCCCAATTTTCAATATTTCTGCATTTTTCTTCATCACCACAACTTATCTTAGTCCATAGATCATATGTACGAAGTTTGAAGTTGATTCGACGAAAAATGACGAATAGGTGATTAAAAGTAAGTTTTGAGTTTTTTGCGATCTAGCAAAAAATCTAGTTAGGCGGAAATGGGCGTGGCCAATACAAAAAAGATGGAGAATCACCCAAGGATCATGTACATATAAAGTTTATGACTGTAGGACCTACGGTTTGGGAGCTAGTAGCTGAAACGTGTTGACCTCCGCAATAGCGCCACCTAGGTGACGCGGGGTCCAAATTTTCGAATCTGAGTAGCGGTCAGGATTTTGTATCAGACTGCCATGTCAGATTTTTCCTGGCAATTTCTGGCTCCTGCCCCCATACAAACGTAGCGGAGAAGAATAATAAATAACTAGAACTGCAAGCAGTTATCAACGGGTTCCAAGCCCCCAGCGCCAGTCGCCCACCCGGCCCCGCCCTCACCTTCGCCAGTCCTCACGCGGTCCCGTCCCAAAAACACGTTCTCCCGCCGGCGTCCCGTCAGCTCACTTCAACCGGCGCAATGACAGTAACACTCAGGATACGTCATTAAACTTGCAAAGCCTATCCACAAATCTTTCAGAGGCATGGCTGACTTCTCAATCGTGATTACAATGGAATTCCACTGTTTCCCTATTAAAGAACGTGAAGATTTAATGAGTGAGATTATCAAACAATGATCTATACATCAACAGAATATTACAAATAACAAAAATACTTGATAATGTCTTTAGATTTAAAAGATTTTCAACAAAAACTATGAGTTTCATTTTGTGACTTATTGACCAAATGTTTTAAAAAATCATGAAAAATACATAAATCATCCTAAAATTACCAAAATATTCTCACATGGCAGTGTTAACATGCGGAATAATATGATGTTGTTTTTAAATCAGTAGACTCAAAGCTTTTTTGAAGAAAAATTGGGAAATATAACTATAAAGGTCACAACAAAAATTAAAATATTCATAAAAACATAGTGCTACTTTCTAAAATTAGGAGAAAAATCTCAGATCACCATAGGTACATGTGGAATGTTGTAAATGGCTTATATTTACTGTATACTTAAAAAGCTTTCTAACAAAAATTAATTACGTTGTTGTCCAACTATACAGAAAAACTGGTAAAAAGTTAAAAATTCATTAAAAATCTATGCTTTTGAACAGAAATCTCAAAATATTCCCAGGTTGCCTCAGTGATGTGAGAATTCTTCTCATATTTTTGTTGGGGTCATAAATGTAAAACTGTACTTACAATAAAATAATAT